GTTCGGACTTAAGAGTCATTTGTAATTTTACAAGTTTAAGTAAAATACACGGTGCTGTGCGGAGATCAAGCACATGCGACTGCTCAGCTCTGGAGTAAGGCCCCGGCAAAATTGTAGTTGATTAAAAACTGAATTGCTAAATTTAGGCAAGAAACATTTCATTTGTAATTTTACAAGTTTAAGTAAAATACACGGTGCTGTGCGGAGATCAAGCACATGCAACTGCTCAGCTCGGGAGTAAGGCCCCGGCAAAATTGTAGTTGATTAAAAACTGAATTGCTAAATTTAGGCAAGAAACACTACTTTGATGTACAGGTAATGGCATAAGGAAAAAATCCTTCCATATACTAATATGGGGGTCATAATCAGGGGCGCACCTAGAACATTTGACACCCAAGGCGGATCCTGTGTTTGGCAAAAAAACACTCACTTTTAAAAACTTTTTTTAAAGAATATTCATTCTTATTATATTTGTTAGAAATAATTATTATGTTTGTTGTAAAGCATCTCCATTAGAGACTACAGTGGAGTTCACATGCTCAGCCATGCTACATTTTGTGACCGGCAGGAGGGAAGCTGTGCAGTGCGCTCCCTTCTTGCCGGTCACCAGGAGATCGCACCCCCCCTGATGGCTGGCACCCATTATGCCACTGGTCATTATTATCCCCATAGTTCTATACCAATTACCAATTATGAAACTGGTCACAATTATCCCCTTAATTTTTTTGTTAACTTTTAAATGATACTGGCTAGTAAGTAATGGCAAGCTGTCACGTGATTGACCCTTACCTGTTGGTGGTTTTTAAAACCAAAACCTGATTTTAAGCATCCAGGCCCAGATTTCAGCTGACCGACAGCATTCGATCCGGCTGATATCCAAGTTAAATTCAGGCTATATGCATGACTAAAACATAGAAAAAATATTCAGATTAGGGCTACATGAAAAAAACAATGAAAGAGTATGCTACCCCAATGAGCTTTAGGGACATAGCACACAGTCTGTTCTCGCTTAGCTCGCGGACAACAGGCTTCTGAGCACCTCAGAATTCAACATAAAGAAACAAGTTGTTAGCAGAGAAATCCACAGGCCGCACAGGAACACAAAGGTAAAATAAAATAAAAGTTCATATGAACAAAATTAAATTATTTTATTTTACCTTTGCTGGTGCTACCTGCAGCTTCTGCTGTGATTTTATTGGCTGATTCACGTGGATGCCACCTTGGTATGGAGACATGCTGTCTTTGCTTTGAAACATTATATATATCTAAGGTAGAACACATCAACGCTATACAGTTCGTATTTTTTATTATTATCACATTGTGGTGAACAACATAGTCTTTCCCTTTGATTTTTTCCTTTTTATTACTATTGTATTGTGAGTGTCTTTAAGGGAACACTTTAAACCTTGGGGACTCTGTGTAATACATAGCACCAAACGTTAACACTTTGTCTTTTGTATATCTGGCTATTACCTGAGGCTGACAGTATCTGCTCTTCAATCGATCGTATATCTTCTACTCTTTTAATCCAATCCCGAACTGTTGGCTTTATGCTCTGTCTCCAGAATCCTGGAATAAGAGTGTGGGCAGCATTAATTAGGTGAGAAAGTACTGTTTTCCTGTATTTTTTACATTGAATTGAAAGGGAGTGTAGTAGGTATACTTCTGGGAGAAAAGTTATAGGGATATCTGTGAGTGTAGTGAGCGTCGCATGCATGTTCATCCATAAGGGTTGTATGAGGTGGTATGAACACAAAATATAAACAAATAGGGTTCTAAGCTCCCGTTTACATTTTCACATCCCACTAAGAACATGGCTAGTTTGTCTGGTGTTTTGTACCAGTGAGAGAGCATCTTATAACCAGAATCTTGGTATCTAGTGCTGATGGAAGATTTGTGAGTGAGAAGGAAAAGTTATCTCCATTGGTCTATTCTGCGTCCTAGAAAAGTGCCTCTTTGATCAGAAGTCTGTTCAATTCATTGGTTATGTAGTTTCAGAATGAAGATTTAGCATGAATCCTACAAAACTAGAGGCAATACGCTTATAGCCACTTCCACAGAGACTTGAAGCCATCCAACGCTTTATAGGGTTTGCAAAGTATTTTTAAAACCTTTTATGGTATTATTGCATCTATTACTCAAATAAAAGAAAAGGGTATTAACCCTCACAAATGGACACCTGAGACTTTAGAAGCGTTTACGGCTCTAATATCTGCATTTTCAATGGCACCTGTTTTGGTACACCCTGACATTGCATTACTTTTTATCCTGGAGGTGGATGCCTCAGATCCGGAGTTGGTGCTTTCTTGTCTTACCCAATAGTGTATCTGATTCTTGGTTTCTTTAAAGTTTATCTTGATCTCTTTACTCCTTTGACCTTGTCTAGTTTACCGCTTATCCAATTTTCTCCTATCCTTGACCTAAATTCTCTCTGACACTCTCCAGCGTTAGTCTATAGCCTCTGTAGATCGGTACATGGAAAGTTTATTTGTTGTGTTGTAGGTCTGTACGTTAAGGTTCCTATCCTTTCCTGACCATAGCTAACTGACACGGTAATAGACCTGTGAAAGTTTCTATAAGAGGGGATCCAACAAGTGAGTCTAGTGATTGTCACGTAGCTGTGGTCGGAATGTGTTAATATAACTTTTAAAAAGATGTATTTGGAGAGAGGGGAGGGTTTTAGTTGTGATACGGTCAGTATTATTTTATTACCTAGTATCAACACAGTCTTGACACAGGATAAAGGAACCTTTGTGCCGAGGTCCTCCCATTACTCGGATATGGATTCTTATCTTTGGCATCTGTCCAGCACTGACCACAGTGTATTTGGATTGGAAAGTATGCTTGATTTCAGTAGTCCAGGGAAAATGGTGTGCCTATGGTGTCTCTTTAAATAGTGGGGTCCTGTACATGATTGGCTCTGTCTCCTGGTAGCAATCAGCTCAGGAAGGCAGCAACTGTGTTACCTACAGGTGCCCCACTAAGCAACCAATGGGATTCCGACATTTGAGAAAGAACCAAGCGACTCTCTGGTATCCGTCTGAAGATGCAATTTCTCAGTTGAATTGTTCTCCCACCTTTTGGTCCATTTCAGGGCTGGAGAGGGTATTATTGCTAAGACAGAAGGCAGGTAATTGATGCACTCCATGTCACAGGAAATGGGTCTGTGAAGTTTGTGAGGCATTTCCATACCATCCAATCATCCTGCTTTCAGTGAATAGTCTTGCTTTTGGTACATCAGAGACAAGGTCCCAGAAAGCACCGAACATGCTTCATATCCAGCTCTTGCAAATTAGGTTTATATCCTCTAGTTTTCCTAATATGCAGGACATGGATCCCAAATTGCAACTGTCCCTCTGAACTTTTTCTATGGATTCCCATACCTCTTCAAAAGTCAGAAATATTATGGGACAATTTTAATTATAGTTCCCTCTCTCGATTTTTATTTTTATTTTACCGTCCTTTTTAAGTTACCAGAATGTTTAAAGGAACACTATACAAATATATTCGGGGCCAATACAAACCATTGTGTGGAAATCTATTCACAAACCGGACTTTACATAGGACACGAGGCCATGAGTTTAGACTGGAAGAAAGAAGATTTCGTCTAAGGCAAAGGAAAGGTTTTTTTACTGTAAGAACAATCAGGATGTGGAATTCTCTGCCTGAGGAAGTGGTTTTATCAGAGTCCATACAGATGTTCAAACGGCTACTAGATGCATACTTGCAAGAACAGAATATTCAAGGATATAATCTTTCAATGTAGGGTAATAACTGCTTGATCCAAGGATAAATCTGACTGCCATTCTGGGGTCAAGAAGGAATTTTTTTCCTAGCTTGTTGCAAAATTGTGCTTCAAACTGGGTTTTTTTGCCTTCTTTTGGATCAACAGCAAAAAACAAATGTGAGGAAGGCTGAACTTGATGGACGCAAGTCTCTTTTCAGCTATGTAACTATAGCTTCTCTTTATTTAGATGCAGGGCTCCCCTAAATCTAAATAAATAAATTTGGAGGAAAGCCCAGGAGTGAACGCTCACATTGCAGGTTAGCTGAGAGAATCAAGATTGAATCGGTTCTCACAGCTTTGGCATGTCTAGTTGTTGTCAGTCACAAGAGGCTTATTTAACCCTGAAATGTAAGCATCACCTTATTTACTAAATAGCAGTGCTTTGTGCTTTACATTACGTGGTTAAAACTAAAGGACTTCTGTACCCTGACTTCATTCAGACGAAGTGGTCTGGGTGTCTTTAGTGGTCCTTTAATGGAAGCATGTCACAAAATTATTGTATCCCAATATTAGGCACTATACACATGTCAGGTCTCATCAATTAACCTTCTGCATATTAATATTTTATGATGCGTTATATAATTAGCATACAGAGGAAGCAAGCTTTGTTTAACAATTATTTTGGTAGTTTGTATTAATTATGAGTTTAATAAATAAATCCCTTTCTGGTAAAAGCCCAAATCCTCACTAGCTGCTGTCTGGGGTTAGTCCAACAAGACAGGTATGGGCAACTTGCCCTTTATTGACATGCCTCCTGGAGCGCCCGCTGACAGCGGTATTACGTCACGGCGCCCTTTCCCTTAGCTAAGATGGCGGCGTGCCGCGTATTCTATGTATAGGCGGTGAAGCCGAGCCGCGCAGAGGACGTTCCCAGGTGTCAGTTCGCTTGCCCGGTCTGTAAAGATGGCGGCTCTCAGAGCTCTGGGCAGGCTGCGGGCACCTTCAGAGCTTTTCGCCGGCCGGTGGTCGAGGTTGGCACAGCCTGCTCGGTAAGTTAGCGGTGTGAGGAGTCACTGGGTGGGAGATCCGTCCTGTTACCTGGAGGGGATCTCATTCCATGGCTGGAGTGACCAATGTCAGCATTCACAGAGGGTACATGGTGGTTATGGTACATGAGAATAGCTCATGGTGGACAGGAGGGCACTTTATATACCGGGTAATCAGCCTGTCTGCATATACTGTATATACACTATATACCGGGTAATCAGCCTGTCTGCATGGACTGTATATACACCATATACCGGGTAATCAGCCTGTCTGCATGGACTGTATATACACTGTATACCGGGTAATCAGCCTGTCTGCATATACTGTATATACACTGTATACCGGGTAATCAGCCTGTCTGCATATACTGTATATACACTGTATACCGGGTAATCAGCCTGTCTGCATATACTGTATATACACTATATACCGGGTAATCAGCCTGTCTGCATGGACTGTATATACACTATATACCGGGTAATCAGCCTGTCTGCATGGACTGTATATACACTGTATACCGGGTAATCAGCCTGTCTGCATGGACTGTATATACACTGTATACCGGGTAATCAGCCTGTCTGCATATACTGTATATACACTATATACCGGGTAATCAGCCTGTCTGCATGGACTGTATATACACTATATACCGGGTAATCAGCCTGTCTGCATATACTGTGTATACACTATATACCGGGTAATCAGCCTGTCTGCATGTACTGTATATACACTGTATACCGGGTAATCAGCCTGTCTGCATGTACTGTATATACACTGTATACCGGGTAATCAGCCTGTCTGCATATACTGTATATACACTGTATACCGGGTAATCAGCCTGTCTGCATATACTGTATATACACTGTATACCGGGTAATCAGCCTGTCTGCATGGACTGTATATACACTGTATACCGGGTAATCAGCCTGTCTGCATGGACTGTGTATACACTGTATACCGGGTAATCAGCCTGTCTGCATGGACTGTATATACACTTTATACCGGGTAATCAGCCTGTCTGCATGGACTGTATATACACTTTATACCGGGTAATCAGCCTGTCTGCATATACTGTATATACACTGTATACCGGGTAATCAGCCTGTCTGCATATACTGTATATACACTTTATACCGGGTAATCAGCCTGTCTGCATATACTGTATATACACTGTATACCGGGTAATCAGCCTGTCTGCATGGACTGTGTATACACTGTATACCGGGTAATCAGCCTGTCTGCATGGACTGTGTATACACTGTATACCGGGTAATCAGCCTGTCTGCATGGACTGTATATACACTGTATACCGGGTAATCAGCCTGTCTGCATGTACTGTATATACACTGTATACCGGGTAATCAGCCTGTCTGCATGTACTGTATATACACTGTATACCGGGTAATCAGCCTGTCTGCATGGACTGTATATACACTATATACCGGGTAATCAGCCTGTCTGCATGGACTGTATATACACTTTATACCGGGTAATCAGCCTGTCTGCATGGACTGTACATACACTTTATACTGAAGGAGACGTCATTTAGTGTGTATAGGTTGCTGCAGACTACCCTGTCAAATGCATAGAAGGTGACAATGAGTAAATTAGACTGTAATTAATAAAATGTTTTGTTCGCGCGTAACATTGCGTGAGGCTCAAAATGGGGGGTTCTATTGGAGGGTGACCCTGCACAAGGTTCAAAATGAGTGGATTCTGCAGGGGGGGGGTCACTGCATGAGGCGCAGAATAGGAAAGGTGGTGTGCTGTAGGTTGAACCTGCGTGAGGCACCGATATATATATATATATATATATATATATATATATATATATATATATATATATATATATATATGTGTATATATGTGTGTGTGTGTGTGTACACACATCCTGTTTTCCCAAAAACAAGACCATATTTTTGGGGGATGCTCGTAATGTAAGATATTACTGTCTCGTGCCTAGATATTTGCCAGCCAGTCGGTATCTCATAGTAAGACTAGTGATAGGAAAAATGAAGATAGGAAATGGATTAAGTATTAGTATGTATAAAGCATTAAGGAATCTGTTGACGCTATATAAATGACAATAATAATAAGCTCAACCCCGAAAATAAGACCTTGTCGCTAGTCTACTAATCAGTGTTCGGGGAATTTTCCTCAAACATAGATTTGCGGGGTTCTATTCGTGAGTTAACTAATTTATGTTCGGGGAAACTACCTCTAACATTCACGGGATTCAATTCGCGAGTAAGCTAATCTATATTCGGGAAAGTTTCTTCAAACGTAAATTTGCGTGATTACATGCCCTAGTGAACTGGTCTATGTTCGGGGGAATGACTCCAAACATAGACCTACTTTTTAACACATGCTTGCTACTGTTTTCCCCCCAAAACAAGACATTCTCCGAAAATAGGCCCTAGTGGCCTATTTTTCGTGGGAATAATTTATATATGCGCCGTTCTTCTTTTCAGGGAAAGAGTGTGTGTATGTGTGTATGTATGTATGTGTATATGTATGTATAGATGTATGTATGTGTGTGTGTGTATATGTGTATGTATGTGTATATATATGTGTGTGTGTAAAAAATCCATTTATGCAGACTTGTGAGTAGACCTTTTAAGTTTAAATAAAAAAATAAAAAATCTTTCAAAAACGGGTTGATTAATATTCTGATCATAAATTTGTTGATACATGGCCGATGCATTTAATTCTTTCACCTTTTTATTTACTTCATTACTGTAGTCTAACTTTTCTGAAATTTTTTTTTTATGGAGTGCTTACCATCACTATCATTTTAATTGAGTATGCTTAGGAGCAGGGATGTATACAAATCAAAAAGGAAAAATAAATCTTCATATTTCTCTTAATTAAATGCTTTTGGAGGAAAAAAAAAATCCATCTAAAGATAGTTTTCTATAGAAGTTAACCCCTTAAGGACGGAGCCAAATGTACACGTTGTGAACGAAACAAAATGTAAACAAAACCTGGCATTTGCGCTACATGTCTGTCCAACCGTAATACACCTCTTTCATAGTAAATGCACCCACCCTTATTATATATCATTTTATTCAGGGGAAACAGTGCTTTCATTTAATATCAAATGCTTAGCTATGAAACATAATTTAATATGAAAAAAATGGGAGAAAATAAGATTTTTTTAGTTCTACATGACATTTTAACTGTCAATGTCATAATACTGTTTGCTTTTACTGCAATAAAATACACATATTTGTATTCAGCAAAGTCTCACGTGTAAAACAGTACCCCCTATGTACAGGTTTTATGGCGTTTTGGGAAGTTACAGGGTCAAATATAGCACGTTACATTTGAAATTGAAATTCGCCAGATTGGTTAAGTTGCCTTTGAGACTGTATAGTAGCCCAGGAATGAAATTTACACCCATAATGGCATACCATTTGCAATAGTAGACAACCTAAGGTATTGCAAATGGGGTATGTCCAGTCTTTTTTAGTAGCCATTTGGTCACAAACACTGGCCAAAGTTAGCGTTAGTATTTGTTTGTATGCAAAAAATGTCAATTTTGGACAGTGTTTGTGACTAAGCGACTGTACATACCCCGTTTGCAATACCTTGGATGGTCTACTATTGCAAATGGTATGCCATCATAGGGGTAATTTTCATTCTTGGGCTACCATAGGGTCTCAAAGGCAACGTAACCAATCTGGCAAATTTTAATGTGAAAAAAAAATGAAACACAAGCCTTATGTTTGACGCTGTAACTTTTGAAAACACCATAAAACCTGTACATGAGGGGTACTGTTGTACTCGGGAGACTTCGCTGAACACAAATACTTGTGTTTGAAAACAGTAAAAATTATCACAGCAAGAATATCGTCCGTGTAAGTGCTGTTTGTGCGTGAAAAATGCAAAAAACGTCACTTTTACTGGCGATCTCATCGTTGTTATACATTTTACTGTTTTGAAACACTAATAATTGTGTTCAGCGAAGTCCCCCGAGTAGAACAGTACCCCCCATGTACAGGTTTTATGGTGCCTTGGAAAGTTATAGGGTTAAATTCCCTTTACTTTCGGCATGGGTTGTCAGGCAGGTCCCGCTAATTGTAATTAATTAAGATACCCAATTATGTAAAAATATTACATAAATATATATGTAGGCTCCCTGGGTAAGTAAGGAAAGACCGGAGGGCGTACTATTATGCCCGGCGGCGTTTAGAGCCGACTAAAATAGGGCGTAATAGTACGCCCTCCGGTCTTAAGGGGTTAATGACCGGTGAATCGCATCTGCAGATTTGTAGAAGCAAATACATGAACTTGTCTGCTATGTAATGTTATTGGTTTAGTTAAATACAACAATTTAAGTTGTTTCTCAAATACGAGTGATTAACCTATCAAATTGGAGGTGGTTCACCTTGCAATAATTACTTTATTATCTCTCTCTTTCTAATGCTATATAATAAAATACATTCTTATGATTGTTAAACTAATTAGAAAAGTTTATTGTTGTGAATATGAAACCTTCATCTGGTTGCAGATATTACAATTATTACAACTATTAGTAATGAGCCTGCTTACAAGTCTTTATTGGGTCTTCCTACACAAATTTCAGGACAATTGGCAGATGCCATTTTCTGCTTGCGATATCGTATCGTTCAAATGTAAACACAGCAGACTGCCTGGAGAGATACACGCATGCAATCTATTGGTAATAAAAGCTTTGCCTTGGCCCACATTATAAGTGTACAAGTCTGCTAGCCTAGGCCTAAAAGTTATTTTGGGGCTTGTCTTATCTGATGATTATAGGCCTGAATGTATATGACACCTCTGAATATTGGTGGTCCGATTGAATGACTTGTATGCCAGCATATATGATAGTTGGACCTGCTACATTTTTACTGCCTCCAACTCCAGTAACTCAATAATTGCTTCTGACTGCTTTGTGGAGGGTGAGACTTGCACATACAGGATGCTTTATTTATATCTTTCTTTACAGTGGAAAACAATGGCAGCCAGATGTGGAATGGGCAGAGCAGTATGCTGGAGCTGTTATGTATCCCGATGCCGTGACCAAGAAGTGGGTCCCGGCACCTTGGAATGGTGAGACTTAATGGTCACTTGGCCATAATCTGTGTTTACACTGTGTACTTGTGGCGTTCACACAATTAAATATGTGCTGTGACACATGTCTAAATGATGTGTTTTATTTGGGCAATAATTTACTTTCAGAGTATAAGCGAATTCTGTTCTTTACTAACGTTCGTTCAGTGTCTCCTTTTGCACTGACACCTCCTCCTTATGCCATGTCTCAGTTGGAGTCCCCCAAGGATCTGTTCTTGGTCCCCTTCTGTTCTTTATACTGCCTCTCCTGGAAAACTCGTTAACTCCTTTTGGATTCCGCTACCACCTGTATGCCGACGACACCCAGATATATCTCTCCTCCCCTGATCTCTCCCCCGCGGTTCTACAATGTGTCACTGCTTGCCTTTTTTTCAATCTCTGATTGGATTTCCTCCCGCTTTCTGAAACTCAATCTCTCTAAAACTAAGCTTTTTATTTTCCCCCTCATCTTACTATGAGATACCTCCTTCGCTTTCCCTGCAAGCTGATGGTACTTGCATCAGTCCATCCTTGCAAGTTCGTTGTCTTGGTGTTCTCTTTGATCCTGGCCTCACCTTTGCACCTCATATCCAGAATGTTGCTAAACATGTCGATTCCACCTTAATAACATCGTCCGCTTCCGCCCCTTTCTCACACAAGATGCTGCCCAGGAGCTTGTTCATGCACTGGTAATCTCTTGTATGGATTACTGGAATTCTCTCCTAGTTAGTCTGACAAGAAGCCAAACTGCCCCACTACAATCACCAATGAATGCTGCCGCCAGGCTAATTAAATTTATTTTTTTATTTTTATTATTTCTTTCTCCGCCGTCACGACTCCCTCATCCCTCTGTCGATCCTTACATTGGCTTCCTGTATCCTATATCTGTCAATTCAAAATACTAACCCTTGCCTATAAAGCTCTAACCAACTGTAGCCTCTCTAGCCTTTCTTCGCGGATTCATAGATATGCCCCTTCTCGGTCTTTCCGCTCTTCTGGTGACCTCCTGTCCACTGCTCGCACCCTTATTGCTAACGTGCGGGTGACTCCCTTCCTTTGGAACAGCCTACCCCCATCATTCTCTCTCTTAGACTTAAATTGTTTAAGAAGTTCCTCAAAACACATCTTTTCAGATATGCTTATGGACTCCCAGAGTAACTTATCTATACTTATCCATATCTGTCTCTTGCTCTCTTAAAGAGCCACGCTCCACTCTCACCTCCAACTCTGCTACTTTTCCACCTTGTTTGTTGGCGGTCACCCCTGCTTCCCTCTTGTTTATTCATCCCGCACCTCCTCTTGACTGTAAGCTCGTTTGAGCAGGGCCCTCATCTACCTATTGTTCCTGTGTCGCTGTGTAATTGTCTCATTTATTGTAAATTTCTCCCCTTTCATAATATTGTATAGCGCTGAGGAATTAGTTGGCGGTATATAAATACCAATAATACTATAAAATCATTTCAGAGCTGCTAGCCTTCTCATTGGAAAACGCTAAGCCACTCTAAGCTGGCAAGTGGTTTGTGATTTTAAATGTTTTATTCTCAAACAGATAAGGACCCACCAGTGGAAAAGAATGTTTCAAACCTCACCATCAATTTTGGGCCCCAGCATCCTGCAGCCCACGGGGTCTTGCGTCTTGTCATGGAGCTCAGTGGGGAATCTGTGAAGCGCTGTGATCCACACATCGGACTGTTGCACAGAGGCACTGAAAAGCTAATTGAATATAAGACCTACCTCCAGGTAACCACTCTACGGAGTCTCCACACCATACCTTCTGTGAATGTTCAGTAAAAACTTCAGATTTTTTTGTATCTTAGGTTTTTTTGACTTGTAGACCCATTATGTCATTGCACAACCCTGTTTTCCTTTCATGAATTGTGCTACACTATGACAAAATAATGTTGTTTTCCTGGCACCTAAAGCCTGATTCCTAAAGCCTGTGACTTGGTTAGCGTGAATGAAGTGTTCCGCACTATCCATCCAAAGCTTTAAACTTTGGCTGATAATGATGGGCTAGAGGCGGGTTAGTTTGGAGTTTAAGCCTAACATTGAAGTCCAAGGCTGGACAAATAGTACAAAACTTTTCAAAACAAACTCGAATGGCATCTTTTTAGAACTCCATGACATTGTTGAATTGCAAGACCTTTCTTAGATCATATACCGAGGATCAGTATTATGTTTTGTCAGGATCCTATGTTTTTCTGTTTAGTTTTTTTTTTTTTTTCCATTTCATAATTTTAGAGATTTGTTCTTATATATACTGATCACAACAAAAACAGTGTATTTTAATAGAATGGGATGATCTTGCTAATAGATACAGTGGGTTTCTGATGTAGGGATATGACTTTATATTTTTTTAAAGTGGTAGGTGCCATTAATACGTTTATGAATACCTGAAAAACTAATGCTACCCTCCTCTGGAGAACGCTGAAGGGCTCGTCCCAGACACAAGTAGGCAGTCCCTGTCACAAAAATGAGGGGACTATTAGATCTATAATGATGATAGTTGAGGTTTTGATATCTTTTTAAAGATGAAAGTGTTTAGGCCGAGAGTAAAGGATTCTTGGAACGTCACACATGATGTCCTTTGAAGATGCTGACAATAGATATTAGAATGCAAGAACTGGTTATACAGCAGTTATGGATAGTAATACATTGGATGGCATATCTAATTATTATTTGGTGGATATATTTCTCCAGGCTTTGCCATATTTTGACCGTTTGGATTATGTTTCTATGATGTGCAACGAGCAAGCTTTTTCTCTGGCTGTGGAAAAACTTCTGAATATCCGTCCTCCACTCCGAGCCCAGTGGATCAGAGGTAAAGCTCCATATATTGCTGTGCTTGTAAGCCTTCTTACAAATTAGTACATAGGGGCTCACATGCCACAGTCTATAAGCATATTTAACTTGCCACAATTAAAGGTTCACTCCAAGCACCTTGACGCTTGCTACCCGCTGTTGTGGTTATGGTGGCAGGATTGCCTTAGTGTCTTTCATGGGTAAGCAAAAAAAGAATTTCTAGGCACCCAGAGTATTAAAGCCGCCGACATATATTTTAATGAAACAAAAAAAGCAGCAATATTTCGACCTTCATAGAAGGTTGAAACGTTGCTGCCTTTTTTTTTGTTTTATTAAAATCTGCCTGCGGCTTTAAAACTCTGAGTGCATGGAAATTCCTTTTTTGCTCACCCTTGAAAGGCACTTAACGTGTTGGGATTGCTGGTCCTGTTCCAGAGCACCAGTGGCTGCTGGGATTGAGTGCAAGGGTAAGCAGTCAAACCATTTGGTAACAGATTGGCAACTACTTAAGGTCCAAATCAGCACGGAGTTTTAAACTGATGATGCAGTGAATAATACCCAGATGACGCTCTCTCAGCCAATGAGCATAACAGGGCTCACTGAATCTCGTAGAAGCTCCTAGTAGGAGATTCTGTCCCCAGCAATCCCTAGATAGTTTGTCAAACCCTTCTTAAATGCTTTGAGTACTTACTCTGAGATGGTGCCATGGCACTCCTGGTACCTTAGCTACTACTATGGTATCCTGTTTAACCAGTTTCCATTAAATTGTTATTGGCCAACTATCAAAATACAGATACTTTGCGTCAAATAGCAGTCGGGTATTTACATTCCAGCTAAAATGCTTAAAGCTGGTCAGTGAGTAGTGATGCTCTGGTGTGTGGTTATATTTTTTTTTTTTGACAATGATGTCAATGATTGTCTATTAACCTTTACATCTAACTTTAAACTGTTAACTGAGTAAAAAGCAAGTCTCCATCCATCCCATATGTACATGTAATTCATTTGTTGAGAATGCCTTTCTTTTCAGTGCTTTTTGGGGAACTGACCCGCATTATGAATCATATTATGGCTGTCGCTTGTCACGCTTTGGATGTTGGAGCGATGACCCCTTTCTTCTGGTTGTTTGAGGAGAGAGAAAAGGTTAGTGTCCCATCTTCCTTACAAAAATATTATATCTTGTGTGTTTCCAGCATTTTTGGCTTTCGATATTTCTTAGCCGTTTGTGTGTTAGAAGCATATTATAGTTTCTTTTGTTTGTTTCCTTTGTTGTTGATTTTAAAGTATGTGTACCCTATCCGTTTCTGTTGATACTTGGTGATTCTGGAAAACATTTGCCCCTTTTAAATTTTATATAGCTGATATCCGTGGCCATTGGGAGTGCGGATAAACCAGCTGATTGGGCGGCCATATGCTTTCATAACATATAAGCATCTCTGGGATTATAAAGGGGTAGTTTGGGATTTTGAGGGCTGTACACAAGCTCCCTAGAACTGTAAGGGTAAAACAAAAGGAGGTTCCACGGGTGTAGAAATATGCTGTCACATTTTACTCTACATGGGACCAATGTTGGGAATAGTTTATACATTGCAACAAACCTACTTTCCTGTGAATTTTATTGGAAAGAGAGATTGTGAGTTTCTATCTCATTCTCATACACGTAGACATAGGGGTTTCCTTACCTTGTTGTGTCATTACATTTTTGAGGTAAAATGTCTTGTAAATGTATTGTATTGTCTCGTAAATGAAAATAATTTGTACATTTTTTTTTTTTTTTAGTTGTTTGAGTTTTACGAGAGAGTTTCTGGAGCCAGAATGCATGCAGCTTATGTACGTCCAGGAGGAGTCCATCAGGTAAGCCGGTGCGCCAGTAGACCTATTATAAAGAATCAGACATTATATTAAATAATAAATATGGGTTGAATGTTGGCCGCGTAAAGCGAGGTATTGAAGGTAAATATAGTGCAGCAGAGCTACAATAATATTACTTGATGTTATCTAAACATAGGCATCTCATATATATATATGTTCACATTCTTTCTTTTCTGTCTCCTTCTACTCTGAGTGATAACCTAATAAATGTGGTATTGTAACACATTGCAATGACCTGAAATTCTGACTCTAACTTTTTCCATTACACACACATCATTTCCCATCATATGTCTGTCATCTACCCACCTTTTCTGTTGGCCTTTCTGATATTTGTTTGTTTTTTTAAGAACATTGCATACAGCTTTTACTACAAGCTCAGCGATTTCTACTAATTGTGGTATTTGGTCATTTTCAGGACATGCCTCTCGGTTTGATGGATGATATCTATGAATTCATTAAGAACTTTTCCATCCGAATTGATGAACTTGAGGAGGTAAGTACTGAGCTGTTGGATGACCGTGGTTACAGCTCTATTTGGCTCAGAAACTGTTAACCAAAAAAAGTATGAAATGAAGACATTTTCTGCAAGAATAATGCTGCTGTAAGTGTCCATTTTTTTTACAATGTCTGCTGCGTCAAGGATCTATTTCTTTAATTTCCTGTGTGATTTGCAGATGCTGACAAACAATCGGATTTGGAAAAACCGTACTGTGGATATTGGGGTGGTCACGGCTGAGGATGCCTTGAACTATGGATTTAGGTAAAATTGATACATGTTCTTACTGAAATGCTGATGCAAGTCTTAAAGCTCTGAGGCCAAATGCAGCAGGGAATTGTTAAAGTATAGTGTCCCTTTTTGTGTTGGCATGGAAATTGGGATTCTGGAAACCTCTGTAGAAGACTAATATACATAAAGGAGTATTTAATAATTTTAATGGCCATTTTATGCTAGGTCCGGAACTATACAAAGACCATAAATGATTCTAATGGTTTTAGCACTTTTTCAGAGAACTTAAACAAATCACCTCTGCCAAACTTAGGTGTTTGGTCAAAGAATGTGTTATAATTCCTCCTGTTTGTTTGGTTCTTTTTAACCTGATATGCGAAGTGAGCTTTTAATGTGTCTTTCTGTCTCGTGTCAGTGGGGTGATGCTTCGTGGATCTGGAATCCATTGGGATTTAAGGAAGTCACAGCCTTATGATGTGTATGATCAGGTGGAGTTTGATGTACCGATTGGCTCTCGTGGTGACTGCTATGACAGGTATGTCTTCATGTAGTAAGAGTACATTGAAGGTTGTGGAATGGTGTATCTGTAAATTGTACCTGAATTCCCTATATGGAGAGAACAATGTGTTGTGTGTAATGTAGAAATTATTTATTATGCTAAACCCTGCAATGCAAACATTTTTCTAAAAACAGCACTCTTTTATATTGTAATGTTAAAACTACAGGGCGAATGCATCCAGACCACTTCATTAAGATGGTTCCAGTGACTTAAATGATCCTTCTAGCTTTCAAGTAATCTGCTACTAGCCAAACCTTAAATTACTAGCCACTACACCCCCAGAAAGTCCATGGCATTGTCGCCAAAGGGTGCCTTTCTACTCACCAGGGATACATTTTAACTCTTTAGTAGCAATTGGAAGTTTTGATTTCGAACACATCGATTTTGCAATTCCCCCTATTTTTTTCATTCCAATCTTGAATTTCCACTGGGTATGTAGCTCGTTCAAATTTCCCAACTTCCCAACACATCTGTCTTTATTTAGTACTGGGAACATACAGAAATGACTGCTGTTTAGCTTGCACGGTTGGGAAGCTCGTAACTGCCCGCTCTGTGCTTATGTGTTAAACCTCAGATATATAGACGTTTGAGAGACCATATCCTGTATGCTGTTTGTCTGGTTTAGACCATTTCATTGTCAGACATGCACTGTCTCCATCAGTCAGGGAGTTAAAGAAAAAAAAAATCCCTTTTTAGATTTTGTAAATGTATATAAAATATTTGTCTGTTGCACGCTCTGTCTGAACGGTCCTTGTCTTTTCTCCACTGTTCCACATTTTAATAGATGAACTCCCAGTGAACACATGCCTGCATTTAATTATGCATTTTCATTGGGTGTATGTCTAAAAATGGTTTGCAAAGGCTGCAGATCTCTTGTCTGCAGCTTTTGCAAACACTTCCCCCTAGTCCCCAGCCCAGACTTTCTCTGGCTGTCCAATTACAGACTTCCCAATGCAGCTCAGTTCGTGTTTTTGTTTTGTTTTTAAATTAAAATCTAGAACAGGTTCAGACCTGTTTGTAGCCTTTATTCCAAAATCAAGGCATTGTTAAAGGGACACTATAGTCACCAAAACAACTACAGCTTATTGAATTTGTTCTGGTGAGTATAATCCTTCACTTCAGGCTTTTTTCTGTAAACATTGTCTTTTCAGAGAAAATGCAGTGTTTACATTACAGCCTAGTGATAACTTCACTGGCCACTCCTTAGATGGCTGTTAGAGATCCTTCCTGGGTCATGGCTGCCTAAAATGCATCCAAACATTCAGTGTCTCCTCCCTCTGCATGCAGACACTGAGCTTTCCTCATAGAGATTCATTGATTCAATTCATCTCTATGAGGAGATGCTGATTGGCCAGGGCTGTGTTTGAATTGTGCTGGCTCTGCCCCTGATCTGCCTCTTTGTCAGTCTCAGCCAATCCTATGGGGAACCATTGTGATTGGATCAGGCTACCACTTCTAATGATGTCAGCAGGCAGTGGGCAGGTGTAAAGGAAACAGAGCTAGCAGCTCCAGACTTGAAAACAAGTAAGATTTTGCTATTTTTAGGGGGGCTAGATGGTGGTTTTAACACTATATAGGTTTGTGCTTGTGCTCCTGACCCTATAATGATACTTTAATTTGCATGATCAGTGACTGGATTTTGCAGTCCAAATGGCCCTTTATGCCGCTGGGTGGTTTTTCCCGTTTGGTACAGACTTTGGTTCGGACTTTAGTAAATTACGATGGTCATTGTGAAGAACTGAAAGTAGACTTGTAGATTTTATGTCAAATTTTTTTTTTTGTGCTTTTCTCGTCCAATAAAGTTTTCATAGATTCCCATAGTAGAGCATCATTACGGACTTGAAGCACAGGAGCAGCGCTCATGCCGTCAAATGCTTCTCATAGGGAAGGAACGAATCCAGTTTTTCCCTTTCAGCATCATTTAATGTTTATATGTTGTCACAGTGGAAGTACTTCTATTGGCTGTCAGACCGTCTCTATGGGTTGGTTTACTCCTTCGATGAAATCATTGCACTCTCTACGAAATGGCATTGCTTTCATTTAAAGGACTAAAGGGACAGGGCCACTGCACCCAGACCAAAGTGCCTTTTATTGGTCTTTTTGTTTTTTTGTTTTCTTCTTCTAAATCTATATTTAAAAACCATGCAATCTGCAGAAATATGACTTTTGATTGTTTAATACAGTACAGAAAGATCTATTTATTTATTTATTTATTTATTTATTTTCTTCTTTGAGAGTTCCCCTGCATTTTATAAACTTTCACAATCCCCGCTCTGTGGTCGTGCTCTCACTGAATCTTGTTTTATGATCTGTTTATTCTGCACCAGGTACCTTTGTCGGGTTGAAGAGATGCGCCAGTCTCTTCGTATTATCCATCAGTCTCTCAACAAGATGCCAGAGGGAGAGATAAAGGTAGATGATGCCAAAGTGTCGCCACCAAAGAGGTCAGAGATGAAGGTGAGACTTATCATATCATATCATATCTTGCACTCACTCCTTTTGTCGGTGTCCTCATGCTTCCCATGTTTTTTACCTCGATACGATGGGTGATTTGTTGCTGTCACCTGCTGCTAATAAGATTCAATTCCTTTCTGCAGAGATCCATGGAATCCTTGATACATCACTTTAAACTTTACACAGAGGGCTACCAGGTGCCGCCAGGAGCCACGTACACCGCAATAGAAGCTCCAAAGGTAAGGAAGCCACAAGACACAATTGTTCTACCATGAAAGCAGGGATGAAGCATGAACAGCGTTTGTTTTTTTTTTTTGTTTGTTTTTTTACACTGAGCTAACAAAGATATACTTGGCACTTCACAGCTTACATTTTAAACCATAGCTTACAGACAAACAGGTATTGTCTGTGCAAAAGGTATAAAAATATTAAATGCACACATTGGAATATGTTCCTGTTACGTTAAAGGTAATATGCAGGATAATTTAAAAATAGGTGCATATATGATGATTTTTATTATTTATTTTCAGTTTGCTTTGAATTCTTAAGTTTGAAACCTTTTTATTTCTCCCCAGGGCGAGTTTGGTGTTTACCTTGTGTCTGACGGCAGCAGCCGACCTTACAGATGTAAAATTAAAGCGCCTGGATTTGCTCACTTGGTAAGAAATTGATCAAATAAATTTATATGCTTCTCACCTTGAACCTTTATTGCTACACAAGTGTTTTACAACCAATATTGTATGGCAGAGGTACTGTAAATCAATTGCTGCTGTATTTTACATCTAATCAAACCGCATTCTGTTTGTGTAAAATGAATTAATTTCTCCTGAAATGTTGGTGTATTTGTGGCATTTAAAGGAGACTAAACTTCAAACCCCCAATGAACTCTGACGTCACTCTTTAATGCTGCGTGAATATATACTCAGCAGAGCATTAATAATTTTATTTCGGTCCTGCCAGGTGGAATTCTCTCTGTAGTAATCCCATGTAAATGCTATTTCTCCTGCTTGGCTGGATTTTTCTTTGGTGTCTTATTTCTGGGGGCATAAAAGAGAAATCCTCAAAATGCAATGGGAATGATAAACTGTACATTTTTGCCCATGTCAGAGTGTTTTCCAATTATTGTGCCCATGGACAGTCCTTATTGGCAGATATTCTTCAAACTGGGTGCAACGGGTACACAATCTGTGAGCCATTTTTCAGTTTCTGTAAATCTTATTAGATTATAGATACACTTGGAATTTTCTACAATGTATGTTCAACCAGAAGCTCTCATTTCATTACCAGTACTCTACCAGGTCAAGGTCTACATTGTACAAGAGTATCGGCAGATTACTTCTGTAAGGCAGTTACATGATCTTGGGGAAAATACCATTGTAAAATACCATCCACCGTCTAGATGGCTAGTGACAAGATTTTGGCAGAGCAGTCTTGTCCTCTATTCTATTGACAATATAAAAGACTTGTTTTTGAATTAGTATTGTTTCTCGTCCTCTCATTGCTGCGTCAAATCTCACATGTGATGCTGCCATGATTATCCAGGAAAACATAAATTTGATTCTATATTGCCATCATTTTCTTTTTCTCTGTCCCTTTTGGTTAATGACTTTAAGAACTTTATAATAAGACTGCTAGGCCAGGAAAAAGAAATATAAACTTTTTATACTTTAAATTTACGACTGTAAAGGCTAAATTAATCTATTTAACTTGTATCCGGGTTGGTTAGGTTTGGGTTAACAATGATATGTGATGCTGCAGAAAAATTGGAAGAAAAATGAAAGGTGGAATAAATTTTCTATGAAATGCTTTATTTTATATTAGTTCTGCGTCCTCTAAGATGGCCACTTCAGGGGAGGCAAGCAGATTCTGCATGGGTCTGCCCCCACGTGATGCTTTATATGTCATTACTGCACTGCATAGTGATTTTAACACTATAAGCTCAGGAATACAGGTGTGTGATCCTGACCTTATAGTGTTCTTTTGAAAAAACAAAAACCACGGATTCCCAACTATGTGTTGGATTTTTAAAGAGGCATATTTGTATAAGCTGTCCAAATGCAAAGCCTATCTCGTACTTAGTTTTTCTTTTTGTTTTGTTTTTTTTTTCTAATTATTTTAACACTTTTTCTCTGTCTTAGGCCGGCCTGGATAAGATGTCACAGGGTCACATGCTTGCTGATGTTGTAGCAATTATAGGTAAGTATTCCTGAATGACAGGCTGTGGGGGTTTACTGATGTAAAGTGTTTCTCATATGCTATCATGGTGCATATTTCCCATAGGAACTCAGGATATCGTCTTTGGAGAAGTGGATCGATAAGCTTGCCTGGAACCTTGGAAAAGTTGAAGATGCGGTTAAAGTCTTTGCCTCCATTCATTTAATCCATTTAAATGCGTGTTTTGATGTGGCTCCACCATCCACAGTAAACTCAGCCTGTCTGTTTGTTTATTTAAATATATAATTCCACGCTTTGTGCGAAGAATAAATGCCCTGATTTGTCTACGAAACATTGCCTCTACCTTTTTTATAAAATACATGTATATTAACCCATCTATGTATCAGGCACCCAAGCAAAATTGAGTGACGAAAAAGTAAGGGATCCTTCCTACAGGGATCTCTCCGTCGCAGTGCTATGCAGAAGATGTACATGCTGGGAGAATTTAGGATGTTGTTCTGTTCTGATGCCTATGCTCTAACTAAACCCAGCATGCTGGTAGCTTTAGAAAGTGTCTCCTGAGTCAATAGCTGTACAAAGGCTTTGGTAGAAAGGAGGGATCTGTGGACCTCCAAAAATGAGATGCACTCTAGACAGGAGAAATTAATTTTATATTTTTTCTGTATGATGTTCAGTTGAAATTTAAAAAGAAGAAAATATCACGTTGCCTACCATTGAACTATTACTAAACGATGTACTTACTTTTAGTCTAGTCCCCCCGAACATGGCTTCGTCTTACAAGAAATCTGCAACATTTACAAACTCTTTTTATATAGCGTGCAAGGTTTGTTTAGTTAAACAAGGCAATATTTTGCCAGAGTAGAGTTAAATGACCAGAAATTTTCATGGTATGTTTTTGACATGACTGCTTTTTTTGCAGTGAAGCATTTCCTCTTGTGACCTCTAGAGGGCAGCTTTGACCTTTTGTAAAGCATTTTGCAACCATTCTCAGTGGGCTAATAATAGTTTCTTCTTGTCTCTCCCTCCAACATATGTGTTTCAGAATCCTAGTATGTGGATGTTGTTGGGTCATTAAGATTCCCCTGTACTCCAGTGAAGAGGTTTAGACATATTTATAGTTTGATGGACCGATTTGAGATGTTTGTGATTGCAAACACATGGATAGAGTTGATCCACAAACTCAAATTAATGTAACCTTATAACCGAAGTTCAGCTTTAGATTTCACCTATTCATCTTCTAAATAACAGATTCCATATTAAAAAGGGCGTTTGGGTTGGTCCTTTCTTTGCTTTAACACCCTCCTTTCTTATGGGAAGAAATGTTATTCGATGGGGGCGTGGCCTGGAAGAGCATGTTGCAGGACGCAAGCTAAACCAGCTCTGCACCCCAGGCCGAATAAACTGTGATAAACCGCAACAAACTGGAGGGATATGGTCCGAAACAAGAGGCCCAATACCCCGGGACCGACGCCATACCGGTCCAATGGACGATTTTATTGCCACACCGTCGGACATGCGAGGACTGCAACCCGTCGACAAAATGGCACCTGCCTCCCCGGGCCCGGAGAGTGCAGGAGAATGCTCAGCTACAGGCACCCAAGTGAGTGAACTGGCCCAGATACGAGCAGAGCTCACCCAGATCTCGTCGAAAATGCTGACAAAAGAAGACACGAGCACTATAGCACAGGAGCTGCTGGCGGGCCTGTGGACGGATCTTACTGCCTTAGAACAGAGGGTGGATGAAATGGAAACAGCCGCCCAGAGATGTGAGGACCAACATAGGGAAACAGAGGTAGCAGTAACCAGACAGGGCAACCTCTTGATCACCTTCTGCAGGCAGGTAGAAGATCTAGAAAACAGAAGTAGACGCAAGAATATCCGGATCCGCGGCCTGCCAGAATCTGAGACGGAGGGTGTGCACTATTTACACAGTTGCTGGGGGAAGATGCACCTGAGGATATCTGCATGGACCGCGCTCACAGAGCACTGGGGCCGGTGAGGCGAGACAGCAGCCCCAGAGATGTAATTTGCTGTATGGCCATGCAGGACCAAAGAGACAAGATCGTGGACGCTGCTAGGGTAAGGCCCTCCATAGTGTTCCGCGGGGGAGTTTAACGCTGGGCGCCAGGAGAGCGCTACGCCCGGTGACGGGCATGCTACGTGACAAGTGGATCCCGTATCGCTGGGGCTTTCCCTTTAAAGCAAAGCATGGCAATACATGGATTACGGCCCGCTGGCCAGAGGAGGTCCCACTCCTTATGAGGACCCTTACCCTACCACCCGTGCGAGTGCGCAACTGGATTCTGGACGAAGCAATTGCTGCAAGGAGAGACCCATTAAATGCAACAAACCCAGCGGACCCACCTACAGAACGGGCCACACGCCCACACCGAAGAGGGGGTCCAAATGGCCCAGAAGAATGATACTCCCGAAGCCGGGCTGGGCCGACAGGGGATTGGTAAGATGGGATAATCATTGGGGACACGGCCGATTATACACATAAGGGGACATGCGGCTGGGGGATGGGAGCCACTGGGACTTTTTTTGGGGGGGACAGGGGGCAATGGGTGAGAAACATGGCCAGCAAGGGACATGGATCTACTAAAGGGCCCAGGCCCGTAGCGTGGGCACATAGGCAACTCCCCTATTGAACTGTATCACACCAGACATGGCTTGCAACGTATGGCTGAGACCAGTTAGCAGTACACTAAGGTGGTTCCCGTACTAAAGGACACCGCTAGGGGTGCAGCAGGGCTCGCAGAAAATCCCGGCCTACGCAACGCATGGCAGGTCTCTTTGGGTGGGTTTAGGAAGGGTATACATTGGGATCATTACCTGACTTTACCCAAGCATTGCCTTAAAAGCGGGGACAAGCCGACCCAGGACCCCTGAGCCCCCGCCTGCAGTCACTGAGAGGATAGGAGGGGACCAGCCGCGGAAGGAAAACCTAGAGGCACACCGTTGTCACCCACGGACCCTAGGGAATACAAGCCTGACAACGGTTGCAGTAACCCGAAAACTCAGGGGGGAACTGGGAGCGGGGAGGTAGACTCCCGGGACTTTATGTAGGGGGATCTGTATACAGTATCTGTATGAATGTATTACCTTGCCTTATTGCCACCCGGAAATGTCATCGGGTATGGTGGGGGGGGGAGAAACTTCAGGTATCGTAGGGACAAACACAGCAAGACGTGGAAGGGGAAACACAGTGGGGTAGGGGATCCAGGGAGATGTATTCACATGCAGAAGACGAACTACCCCCCTACAAATGTAAAAAAGTACCATAATGACAGCACGGTGAGAGAGGTTACATACACTTGCATTTCTCTTTCCTCACTAAGCATATACGACTACACCCACAGCGTTATTAGTGACATGGACACACCTGTGATGGGGGGTGGCTCCCACCACCCTCTTGCGCCCCCGCACGACTAAGAACAACGGGCGGACCGGTAAGCACCCTACATCTCCCCGCCTTGGCTCAGGGCGCACAAAACCGACTCACCTCGACTAATAGGCCATGAATAGTGTGGTATATGCTCCAACCACCCCTGCACATGCTGTCAGGGACGAGTGGCCCCCCGACCTGACTAGAACAGGGAGCAAAACCCACAGCCTGCGATACCCAGAGATGAGACTAACTGCGCATGTTGCCCAAGAGCCAACTCAAGACCCTGTGATAACCACGCTTGTTAACGACTCCGGTACCCTTATGCCTCCCGTAGCACTCTGCCTACATCGGCCTGGGGGAGGGGACATGGACGGTACCACTACAGAAGTCCTTTAGGTACACAACAAGATAAGGGACATGGACAAAGCTAGCTCCTGTGCTGGTGCTCCCTGGGTCTAGAACCCTGTGATAGACACCACTGCGCACTTGGTACGGGGGGGTGTGGACTACCCTTTAGGGGTTCTTCACACGACACCTTTGTCACAGGTGTAAAGTCAACACAGTTACACTAGGACACACAAACCTACACACAGACCACTCACACTCTTTCTCCCACCCCTTCATCCTTTACATCTTCCCGCATGCGCCCTATCCCGAGCGACCATGAGCTCAAGGTTCGATCTCGCCCCTCTCCGTCTCTGGTCAAACAATGTCCGAGGGTTGAACGTGCCGGAGCGAAGGTCACATCTCTTGCGTTCCCTCTGAGCTGCGAGAATGTCCATCGCATTTTTGCAAGAGACCCACTTCCGATGAGAGTCAGTCCCGACACTTAAAGAGTTTCCCCTAGGGATATTTCGCCAACCACCAGACCGCCAAAAAAGCTGGAGTGGCAATATTGTTTGCCCGCACGGTGCCGTTCGAATGCACAGATAAACTGGCCGCCACGTGGCGGTTCCTCTTCCTCAAATGTACAATAGCAGGTACCATCTACACGCTAGCCAGCATCTATGCCCCTAATGCCTGACAGCATAGGTTTCTACGGGGGGACCTTACGGAAAGGCCTGCTGATCGTAGTGGGAGAACTGAATGTGGCCTTTGACCCAAGAGTTGACACATCTAGAGGGACTAGCTCCATATCGACCTGCAGCCTACAGTCAATCCAGGCAGAACTAAGTGGCGCCAGCCTGGCGGACAGTTGGAGGGTCCTCCATCCAACCAGTAGTGACTACTACTTCTCCACGGTACACAAGCACTACAGCAGGCTGGACTATATATTCCTAGCTCAGGAGTTCTTGCCTCTGCTCCTCGATGTGGGGGATCGGAATGCAGGGTTGATCGGACCACTCCCCCATCTTAGCAAGCATTAAGTCCCCATTATTCCGACCCACAGACTGTCAATGGAGGATGAACGAAATGATTCTTAACAATGGCCCCACAACAGCAGACATCTGAGCGACACTAGTCACATATTTTGAGGAGAACGGCACCCCTGACTTGCTAGCTTTGACGATATGGGGCCACCTTATCAAATTGTGCACAAGACGGATGGAGGAACAGCAACGACGCACGGACGAACTGCTCAAACACATCGCAGACCTGGAGGGACTTCATAAGGCCACACAATCGGATGATAGGTACAAAGAGTTGTTGGAGAACAGAAAGAAGTTGCGAGATATTCTACACCAAAAACTACAGTATACGATCCGAAAATCCCAAAGCTGCTTCTACGAATACTCTGGTAAGTGCGGCCGATTGCTGGCCAGGACATTACAAAAAAAAGGAGGTTGTGCTACATCACAAAAATCAAGACCAAAGATCAACAGGTGACGCAACTACCCAAGAAAATTACCGAGACATTCAGGGGGTTCTATGAAGACCTCTACAACCTCCCCACGGAGCAGTCGGAAGAGGCAGGCCATCGCAAGGACAGACGGATCACA